AACGTCTTTACAGATATTTAAAATCCATCTAGCCTAATGTTTTATTTAAAGCCACTGTTTCTTTGTTGATTTTCTGTCTATATGGTCTATCCACTGATATAAGTGCAGTGTTAAAGTCCCCTACCATTATTGTGTCGAGTGTTGATTTCTCCCTTTAGATAGATTAATACTTGGTTTATATATTTTGGTGCTCCTGTGTTATGTGCACATATATTAATAACAGTTTTGTCTTCTTAATGAATTGTTCCCCTTATCATTATAAAATGTCCATCTTTGTCTCTTTATCTTTTTTGGCTTGATGTGTGTTTTGTCTGATATGAGTGAGGCTCCACCCATTTTCTTTTGGCTGCCATTTCCTTGGAGTATCATCTTCCATCCCTTCACTTTGAGCCTGTTTGTCTTTATAGCTGAGGAGAGTCTCCTTAGAGGCAGCATACAGTTGGGTCTTGTGTGTTAATCCATCCATCCACTGTGTGCCTTTGATTGGTGAATTCAATTCATTTACATTTAGGGTGATTATTGATAAATGAAAACCTAGCACTAACATTTTGTCTTCTCTTTTCTGGTTGCTCTATATCTCCATTATTTCTTTTCTTTGTGTCTCTGTCTGCCATTTTAGTTTGGTGGTTTTGCATAATGTTTTTCTCAGTTTCCTCTTTTTTGTTTCGTGTGTCTGCTCTAGGTTTATGTCTTTTGGTTACCTTGAGGTTTGTATAGAATGTCTTACAGATAAAATAGTCCTTTTTCTGTTGATAGCATCGTATCTCCATTTGCCCATATGGGTTCCATCCTTCTCCTCTTGTTCTCTTATGTTTCTGTTGTCTAAAATTATCCCTTTCCATGTTGTGAGCTTGTTACCAAATTGAGGCAGCTATAGCTATTTTTACTGCTTTTTTTCCTCCCTTTCCCCTTCATGCTATAATGAAGTGTTTTAAGATCTGTTGTGATATAGAGTTGCAATTTTCTGATTCTGTCTGTCAGTATATCACCTTACTTAAAGTTTTGTATACTTTTGCCTTTATGTCTCAGGTAGAAGGGCACTTTCAACTTTTCTTGTAAGGTTTATGTTGGTGACCTCCTGCGGCTTTTGTTTGTCTGGGAAAGCCTTTACTTCTCCTTCATATCTGAATGATAACTTTGCTGGATAGAGTATTCTTGGCTGACAGTTTTTACGTTTCAGAAGTTTGAGTTTGTCATTTCACCTTTCTGTCGAGTTTCTGCTGAGAAACCTGCTGATAGTCTAATGAGGGTTCCTTTGGAGTATACCATCCTTTTTCCTTGGCTGCCTTTAAAATTCTTTCTTTGTCATTAATTTTTGAGAGACTTAATGTAATGTGTCTTGCAGAGGTCTTTTTGCATTGAGATAATTAGGTTTGTTCTTAGCTTTGTGGACTTGCATATCCAGTTCCTTTCACAGGTTTAGGAATTTCTCAGCTATTATTTCTTTGAATAAACTCTTTGCTCCCTTCTCCCTCTTTTTTAATTTTTTTTTGTGATACCCATTATCCTAATTTTCCCTTTGTAAAAGAGTCAAATAATTCTCATAGAATTTCTGCATTTATTTTTAGATCTTGAGTCTCTTTTCTCTTCTACTTGTATCGTTTCTAGATTTCTGTCTTCAAACTCATTAAATCTCTCTTCCATATGGTCTCCTCTATTTCCAATGCTTTTAATGCATTCTTCATCTCATTTATTGATTTCTTCAGCTCTAGGATTTCTGTTTTTTTCTTTTTAGAGTTTCTACCTCTTTTGTAAATATTCCTTATGTTCATTAATTTTATTCCTGAGCTCATTGAACTGCCTTTCTGGATTTTCTAGTAGCTCGTTATTTTGAAATCTCTGTCAGATCACAATAGTCCATGACTTTAAGTTTGGTTTCTGGAGAATTGCCATTTTGTCATTTTCTCTTTGTGGTACCATGTAACAATGGTTCTTCATGTTGGTTGAAGAGTTGTTCCTCTGCTGGTGTATTTGAAGTAGTGAACACCTTTCTTCTTTAGGTAAAGCTTTAAAAAAATTTTAAAACTTTAATTCTGAGTTCTTTCTGTGGTTTCCAGTAGGTGGTGCTACAGCACAGGTTTTTGGTTTCTCCTACTAGCGCTGCCTCTGGTTATGTTTGAGAGTTGGCAATTTCCACCTCTCACTGCCTCTGTCAGAGGTGTTGGCCACCTAGTACCCTCGTTGCTACTGCTTGTACTTCCTGGGTCATTGGTACCTTGCAGCTGCTAGTGTCACTGGAATTGCCACCTGGGGCAATGGGATGATGGGCACTTCTGGATGGAGCATGGGGGTCTCCTGAGTCACAGGCTCTGCTGCTGTTGGGAGGGGAAGAAGAGGGTGGGGGAAAGGGGGCCAGGGTCAAGGGCTTTTCTACTCTGTCCTGAGTTGTCAGGTACACTGGAACCACCACTGTGGGCAGAGACCGGGGGGATGGAGTTGTGGGTTCCTCTGTGATGGAAGGATGGGGTTGTAAATCCCCCTACTGCTGCTGCCTAGTTCCCTGTGGCTGTGGGCACTGTTGTGGCCAGGAGGCTAGAGTCCTGTGCTCCATCTCCCCTGTGGCTGCTGGGTTCTCTAGGGCTGTGAGCTCAGCTGCTTAGGCTGGGGGCGCTGGATCACAGGCGCCACCTTCACTGTTTTCCCGCTTTGCCTCCTTTGTGTGTTCCAGTCCACCCACCTGCAGATATATAGATGTGTGGAATTCTCCGGCATCCTGGTGTGTCAGGCAGGGCCATCTTTGTTGAGTTGTGGATGTTTCAGTGGTTGTAGATGAGGGGGACAGACAAAGGAAACATCTCACTCCACCATGATGATGATGATGTTACTCTCACCGTTTCTTATTAATAATATTTTTTCCTTAAATGAAGAGACCACTGACCTGCTTCTCACTAAGTTCCAGTTTAGTGGTGGTAGCTTCCGAAAACTACAGAGAATATTCTGAGACTATTTGGACAAGACTCATTCTACGCCAACTGGCTTGCTGACAACTAAGACCCCATTTTCCCCAATGTATTGCAACCCTTCAGGCTTACTACAAGTGAGTCCTAGGCTGTGACGATTAGTAGTACTCAAGGCATTCTGTAATGATACAAATTTCAGTCCTCCTGTTGTTCAACAAGTCTGTGCTTCTGATGCCACTTGTTTGCTTGCACGAGTGTTGCAATTTATTTTCCATAAAAACAAACCTGTTGTCTCACACAACAAGAGCAAAGACTAGAACTTCTGTACTGATAACCACTCTCTTCCAGAAACCAGTATAACTGCCTTTTCTTCAGGAAATAAGCCTTTATTTGACACTTCTCTTACAGAGCAGAAGCTGAGCAGGATTGCTTCTCCTCTTGCCTTCCGTGAAGGAGCTCAGCCTCAAGATCACCTGTGGGAGCAATGGTTCGGTGACAATTGCTGCATTGTTTTACGTGAACTGTCCTTCTATTGAATTAATATTGCAGAAAAGTTGAAATATATAATATTTAGAGCAGCACATTTTTATTATTCATAAATGTATACAACGTACAGAATTTAGGTCATTGGTTCATTCTCTTTTAAAATAAATCTGTAAGATTTGTATATTGTACGTGAAATTTATATGAAGAAGTTTTGGTAGTGCTCTCTTTAACTATGTTTCAGTATATATATTATACAATTAGTAAATTGCACATCAAACTTATATGAACAAGTTTTGATACTGTTCTCTTTAATTCTATTTCAGTATGTTCTTGATATAGAATTACTTTTCTTTGCCATTCTTTTTATCCTATAATCTAAGGGGAACCTTAGTTTGACTTTCTCAGATTTTCACATGTCACAACTAGTTAATTCTGTGTAAATTATGATTTTCTCTTGGTCAAATTAAACATGAGATTCTCATGGTTGCAACTGCACAATATCCAATAGTACTGAACTACCACTGGAGTCTTAGGGACATAGATTGTTCTGGAATCCAGGGACAATAGTGACTTCTACCCAACCTCTCCAAGAATTTTGAATTTTCCACATTAATAGAAATATATTATTCCATGGTAAGCAAGATACTATTTCTATTCTACTCCAAAATGTTCAGATTAACACTACGTTATGCCAAGAAATCTAAAATAATGATTGGGGACCATGGATTAGATTTAGGAATTTGGAGGCCTCTGCAACCTCAATAAGCAGGAGACTTGTGGGGAGCAACGGGCATTATTACATAAGACAAATGCAAACACTGTCATTTCCAGAGGAGGGTTACAAAGTTGATGAAGGGAAATTTTAAAGAATTACAATTGCTATACTGTAGCTACTTCAATTTACATGATGCTGTCAGTTATTAAAAGGAGTAGTTTTATTGATACACATATCCGTGAATTAAAGTGATAAAAATAGTTTAAATGTAAGGGACATTATTTTCTTTAGAAATTAAATCTGAGGTGGTATGATGTGATGGCTGAGTTTGCAGGGTTTGAAATCACATGTAACTTGGCTCAATCTGGAGTGTACCATTTACTAGTCTTGTATCCTTGCAAAGATTATCTAACCTCCTTCCACTATTTTATTTTCTCCATTTGCAGGATTAAAAAGGGTACTTGAATCACTGAGATGACGTGAGAATTACATTTTAAAAAGACATGTAAAAAGTCTTTGTATAATTCTGGGTACTAAGTAAAGCTCTCAAAATTTACTCAATAAATTTTAATCATTTTAAAGCAGCATGATGAGTACAGTCACTAGAAATATTAAGGCACATAAAGAATGGCTTGGGGGCTTCCCTGGTGGCGCAGTGGTTGAGGGTCTGCCTGCCGATGCAGAGGACACGAGTTCGTGACCCGAGAGGATCCCACATGCCGCGGAGCGGCTGGGCCCGTGAGCCATGGCCGCTGAGCCTGCGCGTCCCGAGCCTGTGCTCCGCAACGGGAGAGGCCTCAACAGTGAGAGGCCCGTGTACCGCAAAAAAAAAAAAGAATGGTGGCTTGGGCAGAGTGTGAATTAATGCATAATTTTAAATAAATAGTTGCATTTAAAGTCCATTCTAAATCTGAAATATTATATTTATGTTAATATAATGTGTAATAATAATCTAAAAGTAGAATTACATTTTTAAGATTATATGACTACATCAAAGGGTATAATTCGTAGTTTTTTCATAGGGTTCTATTTATGAACACTCCATAATGTATTCATTAGCAACATCTTCTTATAATATCTTCTGGGGATAAAGCAAGAGAAGGTGAGTTATAAGAGGACATGTTCCCAAGAAAGTAAGAAAATCCTAATGGGAGCCAAGAATAAGGAATTGAACGTATTTTACATAAAATATTAATTATTCTAAAGAGGAGGTGTTGTGTCAAAGGCAGACTTTGACTTTTTATCGATCTTTCAGTCACTTGCAAACTCTGATCAGTACAGCTGGCTTTATCACACTGTTAAGTTAAATGTTACAAAGATGCCTTCAAGATCTTCCATTCCATGCAGATTGCCTCCTCTAAGCCCCTTTCTGTATGAATATTCTGGAGGTGCCACTAAACTTAGACAGCATCAGGAGACAAACCTGTAAAGTTTTTTCACTCTGTTAAATAATTCACTAAATTTCCATTTCCTTTAGTTTATCAGAGACACCCCTGCCTGTCAGGAAGTACAGATTATACTCTAAACAACAGCTATAATTCTGTCACATCATCAGTTACCAGGGGATGGTGTTCCTTAAAGCATGCAGAGAATCACAGCATTTTTCAGTATTGTTATACCTGAAAGATCACAGTGCCTTCATTTCAGTTGCAGAGGTTAAATAATTTCGCCAGATCTACAAGTACATGAAGGACCAAATTAAAGGTCTCCTAAATTGCAATCACTTTCTCTCTACCTGCTCAACTCCTAAACACACTCACACATATATTTGTCAAAATATCTATGTCTTCGAGTAAGAGAAATGAATGATCTTTAGGCTCAAACATGTGACACATCATTGACCAGCAGGGAGCTGGCTCTCAAGAGAAGCCCAAATAAAATGTGTCAGATACAACTGGATCAAACGTTTAAAGCACTAAATTAAAACAATCCTTTTAATGGAGGAAATTCTAAGTTTCAGAAGAGCACCTTCACACTGAATCTCTGACCAGTAACTGATGATGTTTCTCGTCTGTGATTCTGATTGGTTCTCCAACACTGAGCTAACCCAATCCAGGAGCAAATACTGAATTCCTTGGTTGGTATCACTTGGGTGGAGGAGAGTCGCAGTTCCCAATTCAGCGAGGCTTGCCTGCTCCCCTCACACCCTGTCCTCTCCTGTTCTCCAGCATGGTGTCCCTGTATTTCTCCGGAGGCTCCTGGATGGCTGCTCTGACAGTGATACTGATGGTGCTGAGCCCTCCCCTTGCTTGGGCCAGGGAGACCCCATGTAAGTGAACACTTTGGGGGGTGAGCTATTGTGGGGTGGGGGAAGGAAGGGAGTTAGCTTTATCTCTGTGTCCAGACCAGCCTTCTTTAAAAGTTGTGACTTTTCGGGCTTCCCTGGTGGTGCAGTGACTTTGTTTTTAGTGACCACCTATCTTTATCACATGGATCTCCAATCTATCTACCACAAAAGGTGCCTGGATACTTGCCCTCTCAATGAGTGTGGCATACGTAGCCTCCATATCTATAGTCTATTTCTTCTCAAGTGTCCAGCAATGAACCTTCCCCAGCCTTGCATCCCATCCCTTCAGGTGTTTGAAAAGATTTAGAAAAAATGATGTTAAAATAATTCTCCATTAACAGATCTCTTTATTATGTTGAATGTACAAGAAAAAGGGAAAGTTTCTCTGAAGATTTTATGGAGAATCTAAATAATTAGGAAGATCTCTCCTAGAAGGTCCTGTGTTATGTCCTCAACAGGATCTGTGATGCTGCTACCTCTCCCTGATATATGAGGATGTATCAAGGGAACTCCCCCATTATCTTCTTTCCATTTTCCCTGAACTCCAATGTTTATAAGGTTTGAATCCCTGTACTAGGAGTTCTTTGACAGAAGTTGGGGTTAGTTTTCTCTCTATTGCTCCTGGGTAAGGCACCCTGGAGCTGAAGCAGGGATTCTTAGTACTTGGAATGACCCTGTAGATAAAGAGCACCTATGGGGTGTTCTTTGATGCCTTAAAAAATGTAAGCCATCTTCTGAACACCCAACACAGGTTAGTGACCATTATGAATCTATTTTGAGCCTTTCTTTTTTTTTTTTTTTTTTAAAAAAAAAATTATTTATTTATTTATGGCCGAGTTGGGTCTTTGTTGCTGTGCGCGGGTTTTTCTCTAGTTGTGGCAAGCGGGGGCTACTCTTCATTGCGGTGCGGGGGCTTCTCATTGCGGAGGCTTCTCTTGTTGCGGAGCATGGGCTCTAGGCATGAGGGCTTCAGTAGTTGTGGATCACGGACTCTAGAGTGCAGGCTCAGTAGTTGTGGTGCATGGGCTTAATTGCTCTGCGGCATGTGGGATCTTCCAGGACCAGGGCTCGAACCCGTGTCCCCTGCATTGGCAGGCGGATTCTTAACCACTGCGCCACCAGGGAAGCCTGAGCCTTTCTATACTATCAGTTTCCCTCCTATCTCCCCCTTCTCTGGCCGGAGCATAGAATAAATTATATGAAATTCTGATTTTGTAGTTCACAGATAGTCAAATATCTGCAGTTTTACATGGGAAACCATGTACCTCATTAGGGTACAGACAGTGTGAAAGTTGTTTCCATCCCATTGGGCTGAAAGCTGATAAGCAAGTCAAGGGAACTCATTGGTCTCTTGGAGTCTTGGACCCAAATTTCATAAGATCATGGATCATGCCCTCTGTTTTCCTTAATCAACTATGTTTGTTTACCTCAAATTTTAGTTCCTCCCTATTTTCCCCAGCTATGTCATCACCAGATCTGATAATCCCCAAAGTATGCACAAACCCTCAGCATTATAACAGGTTCACAGGATGATTTCGAACATAATAAACTCTTCCCCTTCTCTTAAATTTACCATTTTCTACCTGTGAATGTTTCTTCCAACTAGTAGAAGAAGAAAGAGGAAATTTGGGTTTTTCATGAGAAGTAGAAGGGATATAATGTGTCATCAGAATAAAAGAGTGTTGGAGCTGAACCCTTTCTTGCTTTCTGGGATGCCCACAAAAATCATTTCCTAGAACCCTGGGTTTATTAATTTAGACTACAAATATTTTTCTGAGCAACTATTATTATATGCTGGGCTCTATTCTGGGCTCAGACAATCCTATTTGAATAAGATAGAAAAATCCCCAATTATCTTGGAACTTACTTAATGACAAGAAAGACAACAATCCAGTAAACATTTAACAACAACAATGACAACCAACAAAACCAAAAAAAACATTTCAGAGAGCAGCAAGTCCTCTGAAAAGAATAGTTCAAGGTTATGGGACAGAGAGTATTGGATTCACCTGCCTTCAATTCAAGTGTCTAGGGAGCTCTCCCTGGAAAGGTGACATTCAATTGAGACATAAATGATGAGGAGAAGCCAGACATGTGAGGGATCTAAGGGACAGATGCTCCAGGGAGAGGGACCAAGGGAAAGGCCAAACTGTGGGAAGATGTTTGCTGTTTAAGGGACAGAAAGAAGGCTAGAGTGACTGAAGCAGAGCAAACAAGTTGGGGAGTGAAATAAGATGAGATTGGAAAGGAAATCAGGAGCCAGATCATATTAGGCCCTGATGGTCATGGTGAGAACTTTGATTTTTATTTGTGGAGATATGTGAAGACAGAGTCCTGAGGGATAAGCTTGACCTTCTATCCACCAAACCCCACCATTTAATTCATTAACAAGTCATACAACAATCTACCCCAAGTCTGTTCACTCTATTTTTACTACTGTCTTTGTCAGTACCACACTAAATGAAGCCACAAGCACACCTTCACTGGAGAATTCTACCATGTTCCTAAATGGTCTCCCTGTCTCCACTTGTGAACTCCTAAAATCCAATCTCTATGTGGTACCTACAATTATTTCCTAAAAGTAAACATAAATGACCCTCCTTGTAACGCTTCAGTAGCTTCACGTATCTCTACCTAACCTAGGTTAGGGTTAGGGTTTCCCATTACATTTAGTATGAAGTCAAAATCCTAACATTGTCTCCGAGGCTTCTAAGTACCCCACACCATTTCTCCAGTCTAGTCTTTTACCCTCCTCCTTCCTCACTCTCTGTGCTCAGTGAACTGTTTTTTTTTTCTGATTTCTTGCAGAAGTTCATCATGTCTTTCAAGCTTCTGCACACGATATTACCCTTACCTGAAATATGCCTCCTCTTTCCCTCACATACACCCCCCTACACCCACTCTCCCTTTCAGCTCACATCAACTTAACCTTTCATGTCACATCTTAAATATCAGTCTTTAGAGACTACTTCTCTGACACCCTAACATAAATTATTCTCTGTTCTAGATCTCCACGCTTTTCTTGTGACATTTCTGGCTCCTGTATAATTAATTCTTGTGTGGTTGGGTTTTGTCCATCACTTTCACTAAATTTTATGCTCCTAGAAGGTAGGGGAGATGTTTGTTTTTCCTTCTGTGGAATCCCAGGGGCAGCAGCACAGGCTTGGCACAAGGTCAGCACTAGGTAAGGAAGTGTTTCAGGAACAGCTAAAGGGTCATGGGATGAGAGGAGGAAGCAGAGAGTGTTTTTCTGGTGGAGGCATTCAGGAGGAGGTGGTGATGGGGCAAATCCCTGTCCGGCTCCGGTTTGGAGGTCTCCAGCCAAGTACAGAGCTGACTGCATCCCAAATGCCTTAGGATCAGAGGGGTCTCCTCCACCCACCATGGTCTCTCTTGACCCTGCAGATCAAAGATGAACCCGTGGGGTAGTTGGGGGTGCCAGTGGGGCCAATAAGGGAGTGTCAGTGCCCCGTCCTCCGTCTGGGTGCCCTGCATTTGTGGTTATTGCCTTCAGTCTCTTCCCAGGAGCCCGCCCAGGTAATCAGATCTTTCCTGTCCCCACAGCACTTTTCATGAATCAGTTTAAGGCCGAGTGTCGTTTCTCTAATGGGACAGAGCGGGTGCGGTTCGTGGTGAGATGCACGTATAACCGGGAGGAGCTCGTGCGCTTCGACAGCGACGTGGGCGAGTTCCGGGCGGTGACCGAGCTGGGCCGGCCGGACGCCGAGTACTGGAACAGCCAGAAGGACCTCCTGGAGCGGCACCGGGCCGGGGTGGACACGTACTGCAGACACAACTACAGGGTTGGGGAGAGCTTCACGGTGCAGCGGCGAGGTGAGCGCGGGGCTGGGCGGCCAGAGGGCGGGGGCGCAGTACGTGTGAGTGTGTGTTTGAGACAGAGACAGAGAGACACGGAGACGGGGACAGAGGAGACTGCGTTCGGGGGGCGGGGGGTGTGTAGGGCTGTGAGCAAGTACAAGTTAGGCGGGTTCCTGTGAGAGCCTGTTGTCTGGAGACCGTGTGTGATTTTGTCAGTGACTGTGAGAGGGGAGAGAGCGTGTGTGGTGTGGGGAGGCCCGGGAGGGAGGGGAGGTGTGGCGGGAGGGGTGCAGGAGGGAGGCTCCGGGCGTCCTTGGTGGTCCCTGTGGGGGAGGGGAGGGGGGGGAGGAAACTCCGACTGAGGTGGGCGGTTAGAGATGCGAGAGGGACTTCAAGGTGTCTATGGTTGGGGGAAGGTTTGGGGAAGGAGAGGTGAGGAAAGTGAAATGATTGGGAGCCTGTGAGAAGAGTCACAGTGTGCTCTGGGCACACACCCTCTTACTCCTGACACCCCGGAAATAAGTGTGCCGCGTCTGCCTGTGTGTAGGAGCGCTTCACTGAGAAAAAGGTGTCAGACTACTTTTTGACAGGTGCGGGCAGGGGAGCCTCTGTGGCACCTCTGATCTCTCCGAAGCTTATTTCAGGTCTAAATTTCTTGCTTTTTTCCTCCTTAGTATATATATTTTACATAGTTGAAATGATTGTGAAATCAACTTTTTGAATTATAATTTTGTTACTTAATATGCTGATGTTACTATTTTTTATAACGCTAGTAGTATTTGAGTAGTTACATATTATCCTTTTTATACTTGTAACAATTTACCTCATTTTACTTTACATTCTCCTTTATTAGATCTTTTTTCAACATTACCAAACAGTTGAAAATTTATATCTTTTTGTTTTTATTTAAAATTTCTTTGATTTCTAAGGTTCTTGAACATTTTTCACATATTTATTGGCTGACCTTTGTTATGGCTCTAAGGATTATCTATTGTTGACTATCTCTGGGTCCTGGCGGTTTTCTCGGTGATTTTATGAGTTCTCTATGCATTAAGAGTAACAAGTTGCTGACATTTGATTTAGCTTTTTCTCCAGTCTGTGGTTTATGTTTTGATTCTGTTCATTATATTCCAAGTTAGGAATTTAAACATTTTTATTTAATGAAATATACTGCAAAATTGTTAGTGATGATTTACCATCAATCTTAAATCTACCACTTTGCATTATTGTAAAAATGTTTTTCCCCCCAGGTTTCTCTTTTGCAAATAATAATTGTGTTTATTGTGGCTGGTGGTGTCAAGGGTTGTCTCAGGAACTAAGCACACATATTAATGAGTCTCAGACCCTGCCCTGAACTGAAATGCCAGCTTAAAAAGAAAGACAACTGTAAAATGATACAATTCCAGTAATAGATCTGCTTGTTTTGCAAAGCAGAAGAATTGATCAGCTGAGTGTAATAATAAGATTTTGTTTTGGTTTTGTTTGGTTTTTTTTTAATGAGTGACTTTACTTGGTCCTTTCTCTCCCTTTCAGGAATCATGCTTTCCTTGGAACTCAACTCAGAGTTCAAGAGTCACCTTTGTCTATTCCTGCTTCCCAGGGTAGAACCCTTTCTGTGGTGTTCTAAGGTGTGAGTGTAGCATTCCCAGGATTTTATCTTCTGTCTCCCCATCTACCCCAAGCTGTCCTCTAATTTATCCACACTGCTTTGAGTCATATTTTCTCTCCAAGTAAATGAAGATAGTAAATAGCTAACATATATTAAAGACTAAGTTCCAGCCATCGTTTCACATACTTCAGGTACATTAATCCTCACATAACCCTAAGAGGTAAGTTAGTATTATTATCCCCCTTTACAGGTGAGCAACCTGAGGCACAGAGGAATTTTAAAACTCACCTAGGATCAATCAGTAGGAGGCAGAGCCTGGATTTGAACTCAGGCACCCTGGCTCCAGAAATCATGCTATTAATAATACACTATATACTGTGCAAAGATTTGTAAACACATCAATTCAACAATGAATAACTCTTTCATGCTATGAAAAACAAAACAATAGAAAACAAATTTCCTGAACATCTGTCAGATCTAATGGGCCCATACTGTAAGCATTAAAGTCAAGTCTTATGGCACTAATTTCTATTGGGCTACATAGCCAGCTTTCAGGGAGGCCTGCCGGAGACTGGAGACTGGGGGCAGAAAGGCAGCCAACCAATGAGACTTACTCTGTCTCCCTCACTTATCCCCTCTACCTTTTTCTCTCCTAGTGGCGCCTACAGTGACTGTGTATCCTGCAAAGACACAGCCCCTGCAGCACCACAACCTCCTGGTCTGCTCTGTGAATGGTTTCTATCCAGGCCACGTTGAAGTCAGGTGGTTCCGGAACGGCCAGGAAGAGGAGGCAGGGGTGGTCTCCACAGGCCTGATCGCTAATGGAGACTGGACCTTCCAGACCATGGTGATGCTTGAAACAGTCCCTCAGAGTGGAGAGGTCTACACCTGCCACGTGGAGCACCCCAGCCGGACCAGCCCTGTCACAGTGGAATGGAGTGAGAAGCTTTCTGGCCTCATAAGTTCCTCACCTACCAAGGAGGGGCTTGCTTACCCCTGAGTGACAGGTTTCTCCTCTCCCACAGCATGTGTTCATTTGCTCTGTGTTCTCCTCTCCTTCAGCTGAGGTTATTATTGAGGATATCACAGGAACCTTATAATATCCTGTGATAGAAATCCTCTGATAGTTTACAGATATCCTATGATATCTTCTACAAGTACCTACACCCCCTGGGAGGCAATTCTGCCTGACATGCAGAAAAGAGGTGTCCCTGTTTTGAGCCTCCATGAAATCTCAGGTCATGGTCACTACATGGCCCTGGGCACCAGTCTTCTGCCTCAGGCTGGGCTTGTACTTCTGACACTGTTTCTCTGAGATGTTCAGTGTGATCTGAGAAGGGGCACATCCTCTACAATATAGGGACCTTCCTGACATGAGGGGAGTCCAACCTCAGTTCTGCCTTTTATTAGCTCTGTCACCCTAGACAAGCTCCTTAACCTCATTCAGCCCCAGGGTCCTCACCCATCAGATGTTGTAGTCATGGCCTTACGTCAGGGCTGTGATATTTAAATGGGTTCAGTGTCTTAACCTTGTAGCTACTCTGTATTTTTAACCTCTTTTCCAGAAATGACCAGTCAATCTAGTTCTTCCAGGGCATCCTTCTTTCCCCATTCTCAAAGATCTCAATCTCAGAATCTCAATTAGAGAAGTTGGATTTGGGATAAGAATCACTAAAACTAGCTTCTTTCCTCAGGGGCACAGTCTGAATCTGCTCAGAGCAAGATGCTGAGTGGAATCGGGGCCTTTGTTCTGGGTCTGCTCTTCCTTGGGGTGGGGCTGTTCATCTACTTCAGGAATCAGAAAGGTAAGGAACCTGTTGGCAGCTGAGATGCCCCACAGACTTTTTTGCTCAAGTTTGTTCACTGTATATCAGTGACCCTGTGTAAAACTTTTATTTCCCCTTTATTGACCTCAAATTTCCGGAAGTCCAGAAATCAACAGTTCATGGTTACTTATGGTTGAAAAATAAGAGGTGATGGCCTGTAGAGATAAAAGAAGAGTTAACATGCATGGAGATTTTGGGTGGAGATCCTGGGGCAAATGCGGGAAGAGACACAAAGGCTGATGAAATTACACTGGATTTGTGTGACAGAAACTTCATGGATCACATGCTCCTAGTGTCTGCTCTCCTGTCTACCCTGGCATTAGGGGATATATGTTGTGGGGTAGAGATATATCAGGTGGGGGCCTGGGGCTGGGGACAGAATTCCTTCCATATCCTTTAAATATATATCTTCTCTTCTCTTTCCCAGGACACTCTGGACTTCAGCCAACAGGTAATGCCCTTTAATCCTCTTTTAGAGATAGATTTGGTCTCCTAGAACTGGTTGTAGAGAAGACAAGACAGACATAATGGGAAAGACTTTGAATTCTAGACTTCTTCTGGCCACTTAACAAAAGGCCAGTTCTCTAAAGTAGCTTTGGCTCAGGGAGATCTAGGAATTTTTTTTCCCCCTTCTTGCAATACTGCTTTAACATGAGACCCTGGGAGAGGGGGAAAGAAGCTGCTTGTAGAATTAGCTTGTAGTAAAAACAACGCTATCTTCTGTCTTTTGCAGGACTCCTAAACTGAAGTGAAGATAATGACACTCATAAGAGAAAGAACCTTCTGGCTTAGCTACTTTGCAGCATGAAAGTGTTTCCTGTTGGGCTTTTAATCCACAAAGAGAGTACTTTCTCAAGATCTGGTTTGCTCCTGCAGAAAATCTCCTCCCTGATGGCTTCCTCAGCCCCTGCCCCTTGACCTGGAAATCTGGAATATTGAAAGCAGTATCCTATCTTCATTCTTTCCTGGTCCCTTTTATATTGAAGCCTTATGGCCTCCCTTTCATGTGAACACATCTTTAACCCACATTTCTTTACAAAGTTTTGCTCAAATAAACGTGGAGTGAGAAGCATCTGCCTGATAGAGCTTCAAGGAAAAACGTAGGCAAAAACGAAAAGGGAGAGAGAGAGAGAGAGAGAGAGAGAGAGAGAGAGAAAGGGAGTGTCTGGTGGGGAGGGTGGGCAGCGGGAGGGTGAGAATTTCCCTCTCTATCCTTCCTGAGTTCCTGTGGCTAGACTATTAATAAAATTGATGCAAGACAGATTAGCAAGAGAAAAAGAAACAAATTTTAATTCACATGCATGGAGGTCTCTAGAAATAGGACCTAAGAAGTGGCCAAAGCAGGTAGCTTTTATGCTTTTTAGACAAAGAAACAATAAGTTTGTGAGTAATTGACAGGACAAAGACACTTAGGTTTTGGGTGCTCTAATAGTGAAGAATCTAACCAAAGTTTGGGCTTGAGGTAGTATCAACAAATTAAAGATGCAACAAGGTTTGTTTATATAGGTTTCTTGGTCTGAATGGTGATAAGTGTGTCATACCTCCAGATGCAGGGAGTGCGTCTTTCACATGAGAGATTATTTCCTGCTTTCAGGGAGACAGAAGGAGGGTCAGAGTGTCCCTCTTGCATTGGCCATTTCTTAAGTAACTAGTTCAAAATAATCAATATGCCATTGTGGCATATTTGGGAACAGCCTTCCCTGAGCCCCAACAAGAGGTTTTCAATAATTGTTTTTATTTTTATTCCTGAATTTTGGTCACATGTGGGTCTGGTAGGTTTCTTTGCTTCATTCTCTGTTTTATCTTGAGTTTTCTGTATTCTGTAATCAGGAATATTTAGCTGAGATAGTAGCCGGTTTTGGGAAATGAAGTAATACACTTCTAGATAATCCATGGCTTATCAAAGAATAAATCAGATGAGAAATTAGAAAACTACGGGAATGTTAAAATAGATTTTCAGTACATGTGATATGCAACCCAAGGAATCTCCAGAGGGAAATTTATAGATTTAAATGCTTATATTATGAAAGGAAAAATATATAAAAATCAGAGACCTAAACTTTTTTTTTTGCGGTACGCGGGCCTCTCACTGCTGTGGCATCTCCCGTTGCGGAGCACAGGCTCCGGACGCGCAGGCTCAGTGGCCACGGCTCACGGGCCCAGCCACTCCACGGCATGTGGGATCCTCCTGGACCGGGGCACGAACCTATGTCCCCTGCATCGGCAGGCGGACCCTCAACCACTGCGCCACCAGGGAAGCCTGAGACCTAAACTTTTATCTTAAGCATCTAGGAAAAGTAAATTTAACTTGAAAAATAGAGGAAAGGAAATAATAAAGGTAAAAGAGAAAATTAATACAATTGAAAATAAATGTATAATAAAGAAAATTAACAAAACTAGAAGGTTTTCTTTCTTTCACTTTTTAAATAAATCACCTACAAGATTGCTAAAGCAGAAAAAAATCTAAATTACAAATTATTAACACCTGGAATGTAAAAGATAATATTCCTAAAAATCCTACAGGCATTAAAAAGATACTAAGAAGATATTATAAAGAATTTTATGCCAGTAGATTTGATATTTTAGATGAAATTCATTGAAAAACACTAAATTTCATGATCTATTTCTGTGTAACAAATCATCCCCAAACTTAGTGACTTAAAACTGTAGCTATTTGATGATTTTTCACAATTCTAAGAGTTGGTTGAACTTAGTGGGTGGTTTCCATGGAGGGTCTCTCACATGGCTGCAGTCAGACAGTAGCTGGGGCTGGGGTCCTCTGGAGGCTCATCTGGGACACTGAGACACTCTCTCCCTCTGCATGAAGTTCCAGTGCCTCTAACGTGGGCTATGTGGTCCCATCAGCTGTGAAGACAAGCCTGATGCCTCAGGACTCCCGAGAAAGGAAAGTAAAAGCTACAAGACTTCTTCAAACTTAGCCTCAGAACTTGTGTGGAGTAATTTCCATCACATTATAATGGTCTAAGTGAGTACAGGGTCAGTCCAGATTTAAGGGGAGGGGATATACAATCTACGTCTCCATGAGATAAATGCAAATAATTTGTACCCTTCTTTAATCTACCCCATATAATTTACCAAAGTACCAAGTCAGTTACCAAAGTCAGTTACCAAGTCAGTTACCAAAACTGCCTCAAAATAGACAATCTGGGGGCTTCCCTGGAGGCGCAGCGGTTGAGAGTCCACCTGCCGATGCAGGGGACACGGGTTCGTGCCCCGATCTGGGAAGACCCCACATGCCGTGCAGTGGCTGGGCCCGTGAGCCATGGCCGCTGAGTCTGCGCGTCCGGAGCCTGTGCTCCGCAACGGGAGAGGCCACAACAGTGAGAAGCCCACATGCTGCAAAAAAAAAAAAAAAAAAAAAAAAAGACAATCTGTATAGTGGTACATCTGGTAAAGAAATTTAGATCATCCGTTAATTGAAATCCAAGGCCCCGTTTGCTTCAATGTTAAATCTTACTAAATTTTTCCAATCCATCTGAAATTGGTTTTTATTGAAATTTGAGTAGGTGTCACATTAAATTTCCTTAAAAGGACTTTCAGACGACCTAGCAGCATTTATTGAAAAGACCATCTTTCCCCCATTGCTCTGCAGTGTCACCATAGACCAGAGCATTGCATTTGTGAGGGGATCTGTTTCTAGAATTTCTCTTTTGTTCTGTTGTGCAGTTTGTCTATACTTGAGCCAACACCACACTATATCAATTAATATATCACACAATGTTAACTCATATAGCTTTCATTATCTTGTGCTGAATTTCTTCCAGTTTTTTTTTCAAAATGTTTTTGGCTAATCTAAGACTATAGTATTTACATGTGAATTTTTAAATTCAGCTTGGCAATCCTCCCACACCACCACCACCACCACCACCACCACCACCACCACCAAGAAAACCCCAAAACAGTGAAGAAACAAAACAAAACTAGCAAGAAAGCCAGCAAACAAAATTCCTTGCCATGATGTTAATGAGATTTTTACTGAATTTGGATTAATTTAGAGAGAACTGACATCTTTAAAATATTTACTCTTATGATCGATCTCCAAATTTTGTATTCTCATCATTTATGTAGTTCTATTAATTTCTCTTAATGATGATTTGTAGTTTCCACTATAGAAATCTCACTCATCTTTAATTAGATTTATTCCTTGATAATTGACATTTTTGGATGCTATTGCAAATGGTATCATTTTCTTGATTCCAAGGAATGCTTCCCCCCCTCAAAAAAAACCCCACTGCTACAACTAATAAGAAAGTTCATCAAGTTTGCAGACTTCAAAATCAACCCAAAAAATCGATTTGTATTCTATATATGGCAATGAAGGCATTAAACAAAAATTAAGTATACAATATCATTTACAATCTGGTAAACTGAGACCCACCAAATTTTTTTCAGGACTTTATTTGAGGGAATATCAACTCAAATCCAGCAGTGCCAAACTGAAAGTGGTTAGGAGCACTCCATCAACATAAGCTGGGGGAAAGACTTTTATAAAAATGAGGCAGTAGGAAAGAAAGGAAATTATTCGATTGGCTATAACTTAAGTGGCCGCCTTACTTGCAAAAGCCTAGTTGGGTGTTTGTGACTGGTTGCTCTTAAATTCATTTTCTGGGATACAAGTGCATTAACGGATATTAGATCTGGCTTGGGTTTGGATTTGCTTATGCAGGCTACCAAGGCATTCAAGCCATCTCAGTCTAATGGCCTCCTTGTGTAATTACTTCAGCAATTCCCCCCTTTTGGTCATCCTCTCATGTGTTTGTTATTAGCACACTCAGTTATCATCAGGGTGACTTGTTTCGCTGTGAAACTTACAGGTTATGAAATCACTTTTGAAGAAGGTTTTTGCTGTTCATCTCATTGTTCATCTTGTTTCTCTTTCTCAAAGCACAGCGAGACAATCTGATGTACTAATGGGGCTGTGAACACCTATAAAACCCTTGAGAGAACACAGCTCGTCAGGGAGTCAACAATGATGGCTATCAGAAGGAAAATACCAAGGGGCTGAAATAGGCATCTATTCATAGGCCCCATGAACCAAACCATTCTGTACCAAATAAATAAAAGAATGTACACGAAGAGGCACTAGTCTCTTTTAGCCAAGTGCCTTAATAATTTTTTGTATTTGAGTTTCTATAATACCAGAGGTATTCGCAGGAGATATTTGGTATTGCAGACTCCTGTGGCCAACAAGTAATTTAAATTCTATTATCTAAAACCACCTGTGAGGTCAAAATAATCCTTATGCCAAAGAGGCATATTGTGTGGTGGCATATTCTGCTACCCTTCAAGGTCATGCTGCTATGATTTGTGCTTGTTTGGCTTATTTTTATTTTGCTTCCCTTAGATTTTTATCAAAAGGCTGTAAAAATTTTGAAGAAAACTAATGGAATTTATAATATCACTAAGCATGATATCTAACTATTTTGCTTGCATTTTAATTTGAAATTTTCATAATAACTCAATGTGATAAAAATTAGTTTCAGTCTAAGTTAAGAAAATGGGTAAAGTGATGAAAGGGGAAAAACTACAACCAAGGTTACTCTACCCAGCAAAGATCTCATTCAGATTCGACAGAGAAATTAAAACCTTTACAGACAAGCAAAAGCAAAGAGAATTCAGCACCACCAAACCAGCTTTGCAACAAATGCTAAAGGAACTTTTCTAGGCAGGAAACACAGAGAGGGAAAAGACCTACAAAAACAAACCCAAAACAATTAAGAATATGGTAATAGGAACATAGATATCAATAATTACCTTAAATGTAAATGGATTAAATGCTCCCACAAAAAGACATAGACTGGCTGAATGGATACAAAAACAAGACCCGTATATACGCTGTCTACAAGAGACCCACTTCAGACCTAGGGATACATACAGACTGAAAGTGAGGGAATGGAAAAAGATATTCCATGCAAGTGGAACTCAAAAGAAAGCTGGAGTAGCAATTCTCATATAAGAAAAAATAGACTTTAAAATAAACACTATTACAAGAGACAAAGAAGGACACTACATAATGATCAATGGATCAATCCATAAGTTGTAAATATTTAT